GTGAGAATGAAAGCGCAGTGACCGAGTCTCGAAAGGAGAAGTGGTAGATGGCAATGCGCCGCGGCACATTGGTCAGAATAGCCTGGCCATCCTCGTCGATCGAGAGCAGGAGGTTTCCCTGCGGCGTCAGGCCGATCCTCGAGATATTTTTTCGGTGGGAGAAGGGAAGGGTGTAAGATTTGTTACTACAGACTAGGTTAACAAAGATAACTTGCAATGGCCGATTCTACAGCAGCCTGGAAAAGGAGTGCCTACTCGACGAGGTTGAACACCGTCACCTTGTTGCCGACAGGGGAGAACAGGTGCGTGCCATCTGGGCTGAACAAGAGGTTGCCCTGGCAGTAGACTGTTCCCAGGAGATTGGAGAACTGTAGGTACGAAAGTAAGCATCTCAGCGTTTCCCGGTACAGATCGGAGGGAGGATACCTTGAAATCCGTCTTCATGGTCACCGGCGGCCTGCTTCCATCACTGCTCGGGCTGGAGCAACTTTTTTTTTTTTTATCGGCGAGCTCCAAGGCTTTGATAGCGGCTTAAGGTGGGATGATTGGCTCCAAATTTTTGGATATTTTGGCGGGGTCGGTCAATTCTTTCCCCTATTGCCGTTTGCACTAGGCTTTATTAGGGAAGGCGCGTTTTGGATGCTACGGGAAGGAAAGGGGGTTGGAGCTCCAACCAATTCCTCCCCAGCCTGCCCCGTGCGTCCCTGGCAGCACTGGAAATTTGACAGCAACCAAAATCTCCCCTGATGCACGAGCTCCCGACTCTTTCAAACCTGTCAAAACATCAAACCGCTCCCTCCGCATCGTGGCTTGCCTCGACGCCAATTCCCATCCACAACGACGCCCACGCACTCACTGTCTGATATCCGAGTTTCAACTCTCCCATCCGTGACTGTCTTTCCATCTCAAAATGGCCACTCCCGCTGCCGAGAGCGCCTCCCCGATTGGCATTGCCAATCTGCCAAACCAGCGCCACAAGATCGTGGCTAAGAGGGGCGCTGCCTTTACTATCATGGTGAGACCATCCAACCGGATGCGGATGGCAACAGAGCTTCGTCGCTAACTGTGGTTTCCTCCCTAGGTTGCCGGCGAGTCGGGCCTGGGCAAGACCACCTTCATCAACACGCTGTTCTCCACCACCATCAAGAACTATGCCGACCACAAGCGTCGCCACCAGAAGCAGGTCGACAAGACGGTCGAGATCGAGATCACGAAGGCCGAGCTGGAGGAGAAGTTTTTCAAGGGTAGGGACGACCGCCACGCCCCATGGCCTACGCGTCTGACCACATTGCAGTCCGCTTGACCGTTATCGATACCCCTGGCTTCGGCGACTACGTCAACAACCGCGATTCGTGGATGCCCATCATCGAGTTCCTCGATGACCAGCACGAGTCTTACATGCTCCAGGAGCAGCAGCCTCGTCGCCAGGACAAGATCGATCTCCGAGTACACGCCTGCCTGTACTTCATCCGCCCTACTGGCCACACCCTCAAGCCCCTTGATATCGAGGTTATGAAGAGACTCTGCTCGCGCGTGAATCTGATCCCCGTCATCGCGAAGGCGGATACCCTAAGCCCTGCCGACCTGGCCAAGTTCAAGGCGAAGGTATGTTACCCTCCTAGGCTGTCAGGAAGACCCTAGTACTGACTGGCTGCCAGATTCGCGCCGTCATCGAGTCCCAGAGCATCAAGATCTACCAGCCGCCAGTTGAGGAGGATGATGAGGCTGCTGCTCAGCACGCTCGCAGCCTCATGACTGCCATGCCATTCGCTGTTATCGGCTCGGAGAAGGACGTCAAGACGGGCGATGGCCGTATCGTCAAGGGCCGCCAATATTCGTGGGGTGTTGCCGAGGTTGAGAACGAAGACCACTGCGACTTCAAGAAGCTGCGGTCGATCCTGATCCGCACCCACATGCTGGATCTAATCCACACCACCGAGGAGCTCCACTACGAAGCCTACCGCGCGCAGCAGATGGAGACGCGCAAGTTCGGCGAGGCCCGCCCGAGGAAGCTGGACAACCCCAAGTTCAAGGAGGAGGAGGAGGCTCTGCGCAAGCGCTTTACCGAGCAGGTCAAGATCGAGGAGCAGCGCTTCCGGCAATGGGAGCAGAAGCTCATTGCTGAGCGTGACCGCCTTAACAAGGATCTCGAGCAGACACACGCCCAGATCAAGCAACTAGAGACCGAGCTGGAGCAGATGCAGGGCAGCGCTGTTCGCAGCGGCCGTCGTTAAAGTGGCGTCGTTGCGCTCTCTCCACTACGTCTCGGTTCCGTGTCTTTTGCAGCAGAATTATTTTGGAGTTCAACTCCCCCGCCATCGGTAGGCTGTCAGCCTAAAAGGGATGGCCTCATGGATATGCGCCAGAGCTATGATCGCGGAAGTAGTTGGCGGATTGGCTTTGCACGGAGACAGCTGGGACGCGTTGTCCCTTCTCTTGGCCTGTTTGCGTTTTTTTGACTCTTTTTCTGACCGGCTCGGCAGCCAAAAGTACAGTGGTCTCGAAGGGTCTCGACTGAGAAGTTCTTCTAGGCTTTCGAGGGACACTTTGATAATCGTCGTCTTACTGCTCTCCGGGATTTCTTAAACCCCTTTACTTGTCTTTAGTCACGATGTAATTCCAGCCTCCCCTTATGATACCAGATAATGAGAATGGCTGCCACCTTCCTAGACAGACGTGTGTGTAGTCTGGTGGTTCATCAGCGTGCTTGGAGGGATCATGGAGCGGGAGAAGCATAGAGGAAGATACGTGCTCTTTTCTCCTCAGCCTCACGCCCTTAGGAAAGCAAGGCGAAGGAACATTCACACTACATAACCTGAACCTGCGTTGACCTTACACACCCCACGTATGGTGAACCCGTTCCTTCGTGACCCATCCCAAGCAAAAGTATGCAATCCCCGACCAACGCCAGCCTAAACGGCATCCATGCTCGCCCTTGTGGTTAGCTGCTCGTTCTTATTACCCAGCTTGGAGATCTGTAGGAAAGCATCCACTCCGTAGCCCTCCAAGCTGTGCAGAGCCAGGCTGCCGGCCCAATACTCGGCGTACACGCGGCTCAGGGGTAAGCCCATGCCCAGCCGCAGATTCGGAGGCCGACTCGACAGCGACGCTAGTGAGCTGCCGTAGTTAGCCGGCTCCCCGGGATGGTTGAAGGTCAGCGGCTCGCGGCTGCTGGACCCGCCCTCGCCACCCTCACCCTCCGCCTTTAGCTCCTCCAACGTCGCCGCCAGCTTCGGGACTTGGCCCAGGTTTGCGAGCAGGCGCTCGCGGGCAGCCCCTTTGCTGAACGACCACAGGTATGGCATCACGTCGCGAGGAACCCCACCTCCCTGATCGGACACGCGGATGATGACGTGCTGGGGGCTCTCGCAGATGGTGACCTGGATGGGCGGCACCGGCCCATCGTCACCCTTGCCCTTCTCCCGCAGTCTCTGGTGCTTCTCTACGACACCCTGGACAGAGTTCCGCAGCAGCTCGCCAATGATGTACTCGAGATGACTTAGGATAAAGGGAAAGTTTACTTCGAGGTGGCCGTCAATACTGATCTCAGGGATGGGCACATCGGGCCCATAAGCGCGCTGTGCGATGGCCCGAATCGCCGTCCCGCACCGCTCAACCACATCCTTGGCGACACACTTGAGGAATACCTCGCCTATGAACTCGGACTCGGAAAGCTTAGCGCCGGGGGAGAACCAAGGGGCATGAAAGGTGTCGGTGAGCGCGAGGTGCTGCTCGGCGATGACGCGGCGGGAGATGCGCTGAGGACATGCAGCATTAGCAAAGTCCCTAGCCAGGCTCTTGCACGGTTGGAGAGAGGGGCCTTACTGATCGCAGGATCGTGTTCATGAACCTGTCCAGCTCTCGGTTATCCATCAGGCCGCTCGACTCGAGAATGCCCATTGCCAGCTTAGGGATGACCGTCAGGTGGGCCCGCAGGTTCTCGCTGATGATCTTGCAAAAGCGATCGTTGTCCTCGAGGGTGGTGATTTCGGGTATCTTCCTAAAGGTGTCGAACGCATTGTAGTATAGGTCATATACGTCGCTGATATTGGGATTCGTGACGACGACGTAGGGCAGCTGTTGCATGTCGCGGATGCGATGGGCAAGCCTGCAGCGAGAAAATTGTACCCATCAGCCCGATGCTCGCCTCTGTATACACAAACACACACCCCGGGATCCAGCAGCAGCATACCTGGCGGGTAGCTCCGTCCGCACATAGTTGGCGGAGCTGATTAGTCTTGATTCAGTCAGGGAGCGCCCAAACACCATGAGCTGACGGAGCGATATCGGGCGAGCTTCCTTTGCCACCCATCTAAAAGGATACAGCTTCAGTCAGCTCGCGACAACTCTCCCTGCGAGCCAGCGGGAGCTGTGCATACTCATCTAGCACCGTCACAGGTCGCCACTTGGGGCTATGGCTATGGGAGTGCCGGGCCTGCCACGGCCGCAGGATATGAAGCTGTGGGAGCTGCTCTCGTGCCACGCGAAGCTCCCCCGCTCTCATCACCCTGAGGGGCCGTGGCCCATTCGGCAACGCGATGCGGTGCATACCGGACGTTCCATGCGAGAGAGCGAGAAGAATTGAAACTTGTGAAAGAGGGTTAGAGTGAATTGGCGGTACGGAGGCGAAAGGGCGGGTGACTCGATGGGCAAGCCGGGGGGGGGGGGTTATGGTCTGGCAGGGTCGAAATGAAGACTATGGTGAGTGGATGCTACAGAAGAGTCAGAGCTCGGGGGGTGGTCTCACATGTCACGAAAAAAGCGGTTTGTCGCTGCTCCCCGCCTCCCGCCCCCCAAAACTAGAGCGAGTCGAGGGGACAGTGGAATGTCACACGGAGGGAAGAGGCACCGTAGAACGAGCGGCTGGTCGGTCTAGTTCTTGGGGAAGGGAGACCACCAGTCTGGCCGACGATTTCGCGCAAGCAAAAAGGACGCCTTTTCTCGCTCGCAAAAAGCCCGAAGAGGCTAGGGGCGAAAAATAAAATAAAAATAAATGCTTTTGGAGCTACCGTGAATCGAACACGGGTCTGTTCGGCCACAACGAACTATTCTAACCACTAAACTATAGCTCCTGGCTGTCTTGCGAGGGCCCCAAGGCTTCAGCGGCACTCATGAATATGGGACGGGGGATCGTGGATGGGGGGCGCCCCATAGGTGATGGACACTAGGGTTAGGGAGGGTTGTCAACCGCTGCCTCTTGTTACCTTTGAGCTGCACATGGGGCGTATGCAATAGTTAGGAGGGGCGGAGGGGCTGCGAGGTTCAGGCGAGTTTGGCTCCACGATCGTGTGGTTCTATCACGAAAGGACGGAAAAGGTGGATTAGGCATGCGCATCTTTGGTGGAGTTGTGGGCTGGCCAACGCTTTCGACGTAGGGTTATCTATGCGCCGGGTTGCTAGGCTGGGATGGCTGTTTATAAACCCGAAACATCATTGCTACCGTTGCCTGTACAATCTAGGTAGTAGCTTGGAGTCATACATGTACTGCACGTGGGCTTGAGACTCGTCAGAGCCTCCTTCATAACCCCGGCTGGTCTGGTGGTAAGGGGAAGGGGGGTGTCGCGCAAAGGGGTCCCGTAGTCCGATACTGTATATGTATGAATGTCCCAAGGGGCCTCATTGATTGTTGGCTTCGCATAGCGACAGCATGGCGGATGTCTCTCGGCAGCCATTTCCGTCTGCCCCAGTGCCCATAGCACAGGGCACAATGAATGCTTGGTTTTCGAGCAAGCAGACTCGACGCCTCAATACTCTCAAACCCCTATGAACCGCTCATGGACCTGGAGCATGCGCTTTGAGCTGGTACCCGGCTTGTCGGGCACCCAGCACAGTCAAAGGAAATTCGCCTGTTGGTTGCACGATTGACAAAGAGGATGCTAGGCCCCAATCTGCTTCTTCCATACGTGGCAAGGCAATTGTGAATCGTTGGTAGGATTTGATAAGAGCTCGCCAGGTCTCCGAGCCAAGTTGCCGGTGATTGGTGCTGGCGGCTTAGTTCACGACTTGTCAATGGGCTGGAAACAGACTGGCAAAGAGCTAGATATGTACCTAGGTAGGTACGCCTGTATGTACAATACAGTAGGTTAGGTTGCAGCACGGTGAGGCAAGCGAGGGACACTCAGTAATACCGTCCTGTCCCTGGATAAGGTACGCACAATACAGTGCCTTAGCTACCCACAAGGTTTGTTGCCTGGGCCTCCCGGGATACACGCAGTTTTCACTCAGCTCGCCCAGTGTTTGATCTCGCTGGAAAAAAAAAAAAAAAAAAAAAAAAAGAAAGGAATCCAATTAACGGCGCAACGTCAAATCTCATCGCAAGAGCATTTTCTGCTCCCCTCATCTGCGCCGTACTCTTCACGAAACTACCTTGCCTTGGCTTGTCTGGCAGACTCAAATCCGAAGGCCCGGTTCCACCCTCTGTTAGGTCCCCAACGTCATAGTCGCTTGGAGGGGTTCGCCCATGAAGGACAAGTTCCCGCCCGCCCCATGCAGATAAGAACTACTTGTGCACCTGCCTGTCACAGTACTATCCTGATAGGTATCTACTAGCGGCACCAAAGCTCGGGGTACCCTGCAGCCTGCCTCCTCCAGGACCGGTGCTGCGCCTCTGTGGGCTTTGTCAGTGCTGCTTCTCTCGCCCCAGCCTGCCGAACCCGGGTGTGGTCCCATGCACAGAGAGACTGGCTGTTGTCTTCAGGTTCGACTCTAGTGCCAAGTCGAGGCTGTCCAGCATTTTCTGGGTCGCGATATCCTTCAGCACCAGCCCAGCTGTGCACTTCTCTTTTCTCACCCATCCTCCCCCCCTTCTCTCCTCCGCCCGCTCGCATATTCTTCAGAGCCGCAAGCATCGAGCCTGGACCCACGACATTTTGCTTCTACTCCCCAGGGCCAGGAGCTCGGTGCTGCCTTGAATCCCAGCTTTTCCATCGCCCCCGTCCCCCTTCGTGCCGGCTCTCGACGCCGCCGCTCGCACGACCATGGTGAGTTTGCCTCGCGATCCGAGCTACTCCTCTCCTCTACTTTCCTCAGCCTCCCATATGCAATACCCCTTGCCTCTTGCAACCTCATTGCCTCGTCTCATCTCGCTGCTCTGCCTCGCCCCTCCCCCCTCTCGGTACGAGAGAGTGGCAGAGAAACCTCGAGTTTTACCCCGCCAACCGCTCAGCTCGCTAACCCGCCGTACCAGGAAGACAATTTGAACCCTGAGGCCCCATCGCCGAACGCGATGGCCGTCGATCAGCCTGAGGAGCATGTTGTCGAGCCCAACGGCGAGAACGCCACCGACAATGTGGACGTCGTCATCATCAATGCTGACGATGCCAACGAGAATGAGACTGCCGAGGCGAACGAGGCCCCCCTCGCAAATAACTGTGCGCACCTGGCCTCCCATCCTACCCTCCCTGTCGCCGAGCACCGCTGACATGATTCTTCTTTTTCGTGCACCAGATGAGGCCATGAAGGATACTGTCCTCCCCCCACTCGCCGAAGAACCCCGGATACTCGAAGATGCGGTGGACACATGGACGGTGCAGAACTGGCGGCAACTCAATAAGAAGGAACATGGCCCAGTCTTCCAGGCTGGAGGGTTCCCCTGGTGAGTGTCACTCGCGCGTGCAATGGTGGTGTTCCCAGCTCATGGGATGTGACAGGCGCATCTTGCTGTTCCCCTTCGGCAACAATGTCGACCAGTGCTCCATCTACCTCGAACACGGCTTCGACACGAACACCATGCCCGAGGATTGGAGCTGCTGCGTCCAGTTTGGGCTGGTTCTCTGGAACCCCAATGACCCCTCGTTGTACTTCCACCATTTCGCGCACCACCGCTTCACTAAGGACGAGAGCGACTGGGGTTTCACCAGGTTCTTGGAGCTCCGTAAGATGTTCAACACGCCTTGGGAGAACTCAGACCGACCACTTGTGGAGGACGAGACGGCCAACATCACGGCATACGTTAGAGTAGTGGAGGACGAGACCGGCGTGTTATGGCACAACTTCACCAACTACGATTCGAAGAAAGAGACGGGTTATGTCGGCCTCAAGAACCAGGGCGCCACCTGCTACCTCAACTCGCTTCTTCAGTCTCTCTACTTCACCAATGCGTTCCGCAAGGTCGGTCGGCCGGCCCATCCCCGAGGCATCCTAGCCCCTACTAACTCGTGAACAGGCGATATACCACATCCCGACCCAGCACGACGAAAACATGACCAACAGTGCCTACACCCTTCAACGATTATTCTACCAGTTACAGACATCGACCCAGGCGGTAGGGACAAACGAGTTGACCAAGTCGTTCGGCTGGGAGACGAGACACATCTTTGAGCAGCAAGATGTGCAAGAGCTTTCCCGAAAGCTCATGGAGCGTATGGAGGAAAAGATGAAGGGCACCGAGTACGAAAAGGTTTTACCCGAGATGTTCTCGGGCAAGATTAAGACGTACATTTCCTGCATCAACGTCCCATACGAGTCGAGCCGGGTCGAGGATTTCTGGGATGTCCAACTCAACGTCAGCGGCAACAAGAGCCTGCTCGACAGCTTCCAGGACTACATCCAGGTCGAGAAATTGGACGGCGAAAACCAGTATTTTGCAGGCGACCAATACAAGCTGCAGGACGCCAACAAGGGCGTCATTTTCATGGGCTTCCCGGATGTCCTGCACTTGCAACTCAAGCGCTTCGAGTACGATATCCAGCGCGATACCATGACCAAGATCAACGACCGGTACGAGTTCCCTGAGGAGTTTGACGCCGCGCCATATCTCGACAAGGAGGCAGACAAGTCAGGCTCTTGGGAGTATCAGCTCCATGGCGTTCTGGTACACAGTGGCGACCTTAATGCTGGCCACTACTATGCCTTCTTGAAGCCGAACAAAGAGGGCTGGTGGTACAAGTATGACGACGACAAGGTCACCAAGGCTACCAGGCGCGAAGTGCTTGAGGAGAACTTTGGCGGCGAGTACCGTCTCCCCAACGGCCAATTGCGGACCACGGTGCAGAAGAAGCCGATGATGAGACCCAACAGCGCCTACATGTTGGTGTACATACGCAAGACAAAGCTAGATAAGATCCTCACTCCTGTCACTGCTGATGACACACCCTCTCACCTCCGTAAGTACCCGCTGCTGGGATCTTCAATACAGAAACAACGCTGACCGCCCGCACAGAGAAGCGATTTGAGGAGGAGTTGGCTGCTCGGGAAGCGAGGCGCAAGGAACGAGAGGAGCAGCATCTCTACCTCGGAGTGAAGGCGATCACGGAAGAGAGCTTCCGCAACCACAACGGCACCGACTTGACCAATTTCGAGGCGCCCTCGGAGCAGGACGCTGCAGCACCCACCTTTTACCGCATGCTCCGTACCTCGACCATGCAAGAGCTGGTCAACACGATCGCGGAGGACATCAAGCAGGACCCCAAGCGGGTGCGGCTCTGGATCATGGTCAATCGGCAGAACAAGACCATCCGCCCCGACCAGCCGGTGATGGACTTGAGGCCAACCATCGAAGAGGCGTACGCCCGGGCTGCTGCGCATAGGGATCAAGCATTGCGCGTGTGGGTGGAAGTGGCCGAAGAGGTGAATGCCGACGGCGAAGCCATCTGGCCGACATACCAAGGGCAATCGAATGGTGTGGTCGTGAAGAACGACTTGATTTTGCTATTCCTCAAGTGGTTTGATGTCGAGTCGCAGACTCTCAGTGGCGCCGGGCATGTTTACGTGGGCAAGGAGAAGAAGGTCGAGGATCTCATACCCACCATCATGAAGAGGATGGGATGGGGCGACAAGCTGCCTGGCGACGAGAAGATACAATTATGGGAGGCAAGTTGTGCTAAGAGCTTGTGTGCGAGAATCGCTGACTAACTTGAGTACAGGAGATCAAACCGAACATGATTGAAGGCCTCAAGGCCAAGCAGACCCTCAAGGCAGCCGAACTCCAAGACGGCGATATCATTTGCTTCCAGCGCATGCACGAGAAGAAGTCACGACTTGGCTTGGGGGAGAATAGGTCTTCTGAAGAAGCGTAAGTACTGACACAAGCTTTGCGGCTGCGGTGTGCATGCTGAGTGAATATGGAACAGAA